AAAATGATGTGGAGAAGCTTGAGAGAGTCCAGAGAAGAGCCACGCACATGATCAGAGGTCAGGAAAACAGACCTTAGATGACAGGCTGAGAGCCATGAGGCTCTTTAGTCTGGAAAAGCGCAGGCTCAGGGGTGATCTGATGGCCACCTATAAGTTTATCAGGGGTGACCACCAGTACCTGGGGGAACGTTTGTTCACCAGAGCGCCCCAAGGGATGATGAGGTTGAACGGTTATAAACTACTGCAAGACCGTTTCAGGCTGGACATAAGGAAGGATTTCTTTACTGTCTGAGCCCCCAAGGTCTGGAATAGCCTGCCATCGGAGGTGGTTCAAGCACCTACACTGAACACCTTCAAGAGAAATTTGGATGCTTATCTTGCTGGGATCCTATGACCCCAGCTGACTTCCTGCCCCTCCCACTTGGGGGAAGAGCTTCTCATCTCCCAGCAGAGGCTCAGATCCAGATCCACACAGGGATCTGGATACCACAACACATCGGGTTACACTGGAGTGCAAGCCACAGCCCTGAGAACTCTTTTATGCAAGAGATCAATTCCCTCCTCTGTCTCATGGGGTTCCACCAACGGACAAACTCTTTCTGCATCAAGAGATCCTCTATATTCCATTCTGGGGTTGGGTCACAGGGTTGCTCTGAATCACCCTTATTGAAGCTGCTCCATTTTTGATGGAATACTTAAAGATGCATTGGGCCAAAAAGAGAGCACAAGGGGGAGAATAACTCTATAGCTTACTGACCACACTGATTAGTGCATTTCACCTGGGAGAGAGTGTCCTGGGTTCTAGTCCCTGATGCATATCTTTCTTTGATGAGATAACATTTTTAAGACAAAGGAAATGCAGTAAATCTACTTCAGTAAAGCATTTAATTAATATGGTGTCACACTGTAAATTAAAGGTCAAATGAAGAATACTGGGGGTATTACAGGCATTGTAAACTGGGTATGGAACTGGGTAAAAGAAGGACAACTATGGATAATGTTGTAAATGGCTGCAGGAAGGTTTCTTAGACGCCTGGCACATTACATTTATGGCAAGGGTAGTGTGTTAACTGCACCATAAATAGCAACATGTCACATATGCATCAAATTTATGGTGCCATAAAATTGCACTATAAGTTGAACATGTGGCATGCTCCATCATCCCACTGCCAAAAAGCATCTGATTGATAGCATTGGGACCTATGCAGCCCACAGTCTAGAACCTGGCACACCAGAATGTCTGGAATTTGAAGCCAATGTGTGCACTGCATGTGGTGCATGGGGCTGGCCCATGGTGCATGTGGTGTGCAGCTCCTGTCTGTGGGACTGATCTAGCCTGTGGACAAACCTCATGGGTCCTGATGAGTCAATACTTCTGGTAGAATTTTCACTGACTGGCATTAGTGTTTCCCTGTTGTTACGGTAAATACCTTGCCTGATGCATCAAATTTGAATCAAATTTGCCTTGTTCAAAGCTGTTTTGTGTTGGTGGCTCATAGCAACTGGCAAGCCTTTCTCTTCAGTTATTTCCAAATGATTAGCTCTCAGTTTACAGCAGAAATTCTTATTAGGACTAGTGCACACTATCAGACTTTATAATATTACATTTCATCACAGTTTGACTACTTCAGTGTCAATGGCCTCCAGTGATCTCTGCGCAGAGTGCAGACAGGCCCCATACGCAGTGCCTGTGCGTCCAGTCTGGTGGACTATGCCATGTGCAACATGTGCCAGACCAGCTTCATGCTCAGTGCGCAAGACCAAGACCAGGGTTGGCATGTGCTACATGCCCAGACAGTCCAGAATATGCCACATGCACAGGATATGCTGCATGTACTGCTATATGCCAGTCTAAGACCCACAGGCAGCACTGTGAGCTGGATCTTTGACACCCCTGCTCTACACAGTTCCAGTCATTCATATTCAAGAAAGACAAGCTAATCTTGCCATAAATGTAACATCTGCCAGGTGCCCAAGATGCAGCTTCATACATTCTGGAAGGGATTATACAGTGTGGTGGGTCTGTAAGAACAGTGAATTAAACTTTATGATCCAGGACCCATGCCATCCTACGTTCCAAGGAAAAAACATAAAATACATAAAAAAAACCTTATGTATTTTATATTAAACAATTAATGGATAAAATATTTTGCTGGGACTGGTATCCCTGCCCCCCAAAATGTATAATTACCTGCCCTAACCATTGAGTTACACAATCATGCTTACTCTTGTGAGTTTGAACTCCTTCATGCACAAGATTGGCAGCCAGTCCTGCTGCTCAGCAATTATGTCAAAACTGCACTCAGAAGCAGAACTTTAGATGCCTATGGAATTTTAATGTAAAAAACTTAAGCAATAAGGTTTTTCAGTGCCACCATGGTTAGGCAGCACCTGAGTCGGGGTTTTGAGAATGTAAATTTTCAACTTGGTACTGGAGTCTCGGATAAACATACAAATGGATCTGGGCCAATCTAATTCCTCCTTCAGATGGCAGAAGCAATTTTTTTTTTACAGTGCCAAACTGCTGATACCTACAGGTCTGTCTAAACATTGTGTCTACTTAATACAGAACTTCTACAGAGAGATAAACATTATACAGGTTTTAGATCAACTTTCTCTCTTATCAGCTCATATTATTTTAAAAGCAAAATGACAAAAAAAACAAGCAAACAACTTACCAAATAACAAAGGAACGAAAGATTTGTGGCAGCTGCACTTTTCACTCTGCTATCCTTTTTTTCAAACATTTTTAAGGTTTCCACAGCCTAGAAATAGTTCAAAAGCAAATGACCTATATTGTGACATACTTATAGCATTGTCAGAAAAAAAACAAAGAAAATGAATACACTTACACAGTAATAAGTATCCAAAATTACTATTGAAAGCTTGGATTCCTAATTAATTTCTATGCAGTAATTGCATAAAATTTTCCACTGCAAAATATTTAATAACTTGTACTTTTCTTTTAAAATGGTAACTTCCCCTGCCCCACCACATGCTTAAGTTCATATAATTACATACAACATTGATATACTGGACCCAGTATCTGTTCTCTGTTACATCAGTGCAAATGTAACAACTTCACTTAAGCTAACTACTGACAATTACTAAACCTTCTTACCCTGCCAATATAGATATACTTATCATAGTAATGTGAATGGTGAATGCATGATGTTATAAGTGGAAATGTCAAGACAGAAAAAAAACACCTTTAAACTACCAACCTATATATTGAAAGTAAGGCAAGGTAGAACCCTGGGCTGCTTACAGACATAACTCCCAGCCTTTCAAATATTTCAGAGATATTCAGACAATAGAATGAAAATCTAATTGAGCTTTTGCTTTCTTTACCACTATCCAAAAAAGTAGTAGTAGTAAAACAAATGCTTACTAAGAGGGTAAAGTACAAATTTTAGCTTTGGTTTTGATTTGACCTGCACAGCCAATTAGGTGAATTCATAATTTGATTTTTGGTTTGGATTATTATGTGACTATATTTACCCTCCTGTTTACAAATCAATAAAACATATATGTACTTTATCACATATTTCCTACGGATAATCACCTGAAAACATTAAACTTTGAAACTTCCAAGCTTGCCTAATACTGTATTGGCACCCATTCATTGTTGCTAATGAATTTTATGAAACAATGACTTTTTAGAAATGGAAAACTTTCCATAGAAAAATAAAGCATTGGAAAATTTTCCAAAAATTTTTCTGCCCCACATCTCTGCATAGGAAAGTAGTGTCTCACAAGGGGTGTGTCTATATGTTCATTAATGTGCAGCAGTTACCATGTATTTAATTTAGTACTTGCTTAATGAAGTACTAACTAAATGTTCAGTAACTAATTACTGGACAGTAGTGCCAGCACACAGTTTTTTTGTGAGGCTTACCGTGCACTAGCCTAATAACACTGTGCAGCAGCGTATTAGCACAGTTTCTGACTGGCACACCACTGTGCAGTGTTATTAGTCTGCTGCTCAGTAAGCGCCGCGTGGAGACATGCCCAAAGTCATGTAATCCAGCCACTGCTCAATGCATGTAATCCAGCCACTACATCTGTTTAAAAAAATGATCCCTAAAACACTCCAGAAATTTGCCGGACTACTACTGCACTGCTGTTTTCCTCCTAGCAGGTGTCCCAATAATAAAAGTCTTCCATGAGAACCAGGTCCTGAAATCTGGAAGCTTCTGTCAGTTGTTTAAAGAAGGCCCTGTCCACCTCTTCCTCCTGGCTCGGTGGTCTGTAGCAGACACCCGCCATGACATCCCCCTGCTCTCAATTGGCCTACCTTCCACTTCATACTGCACTTCAGAACTCATATACATCACCTTTAAATTATAGTGCAACACCTTCTCCGTTTTCCTGCTCTGCCATCCTTCCTGAACAAGCTATACACATCCAGGACAATACTCCAATCATGAAAACTATCCTACCATGTCTCTGTATTTCAAAAGGGCAACAGCTATTAGGTTCTAATAGTTATGCATAGACAAGCCAGGCACAATACATCCAGTGTTAAAGCTCAAGTAGCACCACTTTATCATTCCCAGCTTGTCCACACATAATAATTAGAACATAGCAGCTGCTGCCCTTTTATAATGGCTCTAAATGTAAGTATGTCCATACCCTCAGTGAGCTTTCAGATATATAAATCAAAATGCCATTCCTTGGTTTGTGTGATTTCTACTTTGACATCTTTCATTGTAAAGATTGAAGTGCAAGTAACATTTTTGTTGCCAAAGGAAAAAGAGGGGTTAGCATACTTTGAGACCACACAGATACTGGCTAAGAATGCCACAGATCACTTGAGTTTATTAAAACTATGACATACGTTGGCATTAAAATGTCTTGGTAGTAATAATCATTCTGTCCTTTAAGGTGAGATGCTGTTTCTGTATATTTGCCTAGTTTGGGAATTTCACTATTCTTAAATCCTCAGGATAAGAATCCGCTGAACATAAAAATCAAACTAAGGAATTGTTCATATCAGTCTTTATTATGGGATTCTACTACACCCAGGTTAAGCTTAAAAGCAGGTTGAAAGTATGTTTGAAAGTGCTGCATAACGAGTTAAATACAACAGTATGCCTGACCTAGGGTATGGACTTTCAGCAATGTTAACAGAACTTGCACCACTAAATTTTAGGGCTCCGCTTTAAAACTGTATACCAAAATTGTCTTTAATAAAACATTCAAAATACCCGTAATGCACAAAGGTCATTTTCAAATAATATGCCAGTCTCCAAATGTCCTGACAGATGATCAGCAGGGAACACCATCAACCCAATGAGGATGTGAGACACTGCTGTATTAGACAGCTCCCATCTGTTTCAAGCACCTGCCTCATATCTTACATGGTTCAGCACCACTTTATTTTTCAGTGAAAATTTATGTCAGGGCATAAAAATAAACAAAAAAAGCACCACAAGTGGTGAAAAGTTAAATTTTGAAGCTCAATACATAGTTGTCTCAATGGCCCACCCAACAGTATGTACCAAAAAGAGACTTGGGACCAAAATCTTTCCTGGGAGTTTTTGTACTGTTGATCGACAGAAGTGATAGAAGCTATTCTGTAAGGTAAATATCGCACTGCTGTGAATATCCTTTTACTATAGCAGATGTATATATATGCATGTATACTGCACATGCAGCCCAACGAAGTACTGGAGGAACGGTAATCAGGGAGACTACAAGTATTTCCAAAAGGAAAAAAATATTAGAGATCAGAAAATATGAGATGTGCTGCAGAGGGACAAAGGTAAGTCACCACCATCAGTAATACTTCAGAGCACAAAAATAAAATGCTTTTTGATATAGAATAATTTTATTTTAGTAACTCAGTTTTATGGAAAGAGATGGAAGATACATATGCACACATGCACATCCTTCATATTATGATAAATAATTATATGAATACTAAAAAATACCCTAAAATTTGAAATGAAAAATGCTACACTCTTGAAACAGTTCTTCTAAGGCCAATCGATGTGTGTTACCTGTTAAATAAAACTACATGTTTACAAATGAAACAAGGAAATATTCAGATTTCTAGTAGAAGTAGTGATTTATTTTCTAAGTTTTTATTACATATGTACTAAGGAAAGTACTTAGACTAAAGATAGAAAATAAATGTGAGATTTTAATACTGTACCTACCTCCTCATACTTACAGCATTAAACAAAATTTAAGTGACAGAATGAAAGAAACAATGTTGAAAAGAAAGTAAGGACAACATTTTAAAAACTGCAGTTCAACTAACCTTACAAGCAAGACACTGAAAGCATAAACACATTTATATAGCAGATGGAAAGATCTACAAAAGCATTGCACAGAACATGAGACTGAGTAGGGCATACAGGTGAAGGAAGTGAAACAATGACAGATGTAAGCAGCACACATAACTAACAACTGCATGGGACTGAATTGCAAACTGCAGTAAGCCAATGATTGCTCTTGGATTACCCATGCTTTACTGATGCTGCAAAGACTATAACCTCCCCCTCCGCCCCCTCCAAGAGCTCATGCCGATCTGTTCCACAGGAAAAATCTTTCCTCATTCCAAATAGGCAGTCAGTCCTGAAGCATCACAAAAGATGCAGAATAATTTATACACAAGTAGAAATGCCCCCACTGGATGATCCTTCACACCAGCTTCTAAGCATCCACATGTAGACCACACATCAAGCCAGCGTCAGCACTAAATGATCCATCCTATCTCTGTTAAGGTAGTTTCACTTATAGGGCATAGAAAACATGTGCAAGGCACTGGGGTTTCAAATTTATTTGAGGATACTTATGTCCATTTACGCCTGTCTTATATTTAGTTTATACCAATTCCTTACAGAATCCAGCTAAATCTAAATAAATCAGGTTTGGATACGATTGTCCAGGCAAGATTTGTACCAGCTTAACCACATGATTTTAAAAATCAACTTGAGTTAAATCAGTGCTACTTTGTGTATAGGCAAGGCTTCTATATCTATTTATCTATCTGGGAAAAATGAGATCACATTCCTCCTAAATGAACTTGTCATAATGTTAATTGCTCAAAATTATTTTTCTCAAGTCTGCCCTTTTGTAGAACTATCATGGACAGTGATTCTAGCATAGACTACACTGTAACAGTGGATATTTGAGTAGGAAATGGAAAAAGAATCATTGACTACAATATCAAGTGCATCTGCACATTTTCTGATCTCCTATTACCTTCTCCAATATGCAAATTATATTTAGATAAAAGCCACTCCATATTATCATTCATGTTTTTGCAGGATTATTCTAATAAAATCACCCAGACTTCTATCAGATTCTAAGCAATCATAAAGGAGGCTTGTGCTGGAGTTTAACGGTTACTTGAAATGCCAAATACAATATTCAGAAAGATAGCATAAAAGAGTACTGTACCTGGTTGAAGTCCTTTTGCCTCAAATACATAATTGCTTTATTTATTTCAAGATCATTGGCTAACTCTACATAGTGGGAAGCTTTTACTACTTCAACACACCTACAACAGAAAGGAATCCAAAAAAAAAAAAAAGATAAAATATATCTGCATTTATGTTACTTTCCAAGATGCTCATTTTTGCTATCTAGAGGGAATTGGTCTGCTAATTTAGTTACATCTTCATTGCAGACATGAGTGGCACCACAAATAAAAAAAGTTTTACAGAATAATTTCTTTAATTGCTTACTTGAAAAGTGCTCTCTCTAGTTTGTTTTTAAGGCTCTCCATATAAGTAGCATGTTATTTTCAGTTGCTTAGCAATCTTCATGTCAGTGATCTCAGAAATTGACCTAAATAGATCCTGAATGATGCTGGCTCCATTCTGTAAGCAGCCAGAATTTTAATTTTATAAAAGATCAGGTTGCAGCAAAATACTACAGACTCACGACATATCTACAATTTGTTCCCTAGGTTCTACCATGTCATAAACCTTAAAACTTCTTAAGTATATTATAAATTAGACGTGGCACACACAACCCTGAACTTTTGTAACATATGCAAGAGTATATATCCTCTCTCATATAAGTAAAAGAGAAATTAAAATCTCAAAGAAACTTTCAAACATCAATGCAGATTTAGCCACACCATAGTAATGCTCAAGATGGACAATGCATTTTAACATCTTGCAGCATTCAGAATGGCTGTCTTTAGGGGGGAAAAAAGCCTCCTGAGTTCAGTTCAACCACTTTTGGATGCGACACTGTCATATCCAGAACTCAATGTAGTGGTGGCAGAGGTGGCTTGGGCCTAAACTACCAAATGCATGATGGACTTCCTGCTTATCCCTCAGGTAACTCTTTAATTACTTCTGATTCAGGGGTACTAGGAAAAGAAAGCCAACATGGAGCAAGGCAGTTATTGCTGTCTGCATGTTAAGGTATTCTCTTCCCATCAACTCTTTTTCTGGATTTGATATGGTACATTCTAAAACAGGGGTGTCAAACATGGCCTGCGGAGCTGCTGTTACCTAGCCTGCATGGCTACTGGGAACTCAGGGATCAGGGGAAGAGGCCTGCTACAGAATCTGGGGCCCTGGGGTCCAGTGAACATGACAATTGGTGGCAGGAGGGTGAGTGAGGACTGACATAACCCTGGGTGCCTCTGGCTGATTCACTTCTTGTTACTGGGCGCATCTACAGGAAACACTTCACTTGAGATTAGAGCAAATGACTGCGCAGTAAGTGTCTTTACATATAAACAGTGATGCTTACTGCGTAGTTATTTGCTCGAATCCTGAGTAAATTTGCTACCTGTAAATGCAAATAGAAAATTTACTCAAGAGTAATTACTGTGCAGTATGGCACATGTTGATGGCCGACCAGGAGCAAATGTGCTCCCAGTCAGCCAGGCAGCAGAGGGTGGGAAATTACTCCCTGCCCCTGGAAGCTGCCTGCTGCTGGGGCAGACTACACCACTGGAGCGTTGGCAGGGACATGTCCCCTTGCCCCAGCAGCAAGAAGCTCCCAGTCCCCAATCTGTGATTGCAGAGCAGGGGCTGAGAGCTGGGATTCTTATCTCCCAGCCCCAGATCTATAATTGTGGAGAAGGAGCTGGGAGCTTCCTGCTGCTGGGACAGGGGGATAGTGTCCCCTCCCCAGCAGCAGGCAGCTCCTAGGGGCAAGAGAATCTTCTGGTCCCATGCTCCCTGCCAATCCCTGGGCTTGCACCCAGAGGAAGCCTAGAGCTCCTCCTGGCTGCTGCAGGGGGCCAGTGCAGGGCTGGCAGGGGGCAGCAAATCTGTTCCCACTTGCAGACTGCATCCAGCCCAGGGCACAGGATGGCTCTGACAGCAGCACCTCTAGCTCCTTTCTGGTGCTCACAGTGGCAACAAGGATTCCAAGTCCTGCTCCATGTCCTGCGCCAGAGCTGGAGCTGTTGTCACCAATATGTTTCATGTTGGCATGGCAGCTCCAGTTCTAACACAAAAGAACATGACTGCTGGTCACAGCTGCTGCTGATGGCAGTAGTCTTCTGCTCCTGCTTCCCTGCAAGTGTAGACACCTGCCCCAGGGCATTTGCATGTGTAGACGTGCCCACTGTTGTGGTCCCAGCTCCTTAGCTGATGGCCTCGTTGTTGCTGCCACCACATGCCCTATACCAGACTCAGACTTGGGGCCATCGTGTTCTAACTATAGGCCCATCAGCCTGACTTCTATCCCAGGGA